CAACAGTTATTTTTTGTGGAGTCTTTAGAATTTCTCCATATATAAGATCATATTATCTAAAAATAAACAATTTAATTTCTTATTTTCTGGTTTGAATGCATTTTATTTCTTTCTCTTGCCTAATTGCTCTGGCTAAGACTTCCAGTCCTATGTTAAATAAAAGTGGTGAGAGTAAGCATCTTTGTCTTGTTCCTGATCTTAGAGGAAAAGCTTTCTACTTTTCATCATTGAGGGTAATGTTAGTTGTCAGTTTGTCATACATGGCCTTTATTGTGTTGAGGCACATTTCTTCTATATTTGTTGAGAGTTGTATCATGAAAGGATGTAGGATTTTGTGAAACGCTTTTCTGTATCCATTGGGATCGTATGGTTTTTGTCCTTCATTGTGTTTATGTGATGTATCTCATTTATAGATTTACATATGTTAAATTATCCTTGTATCCCAGGGATAAGTTCTACTTGATCATGTTGAATGATCTTTTTACTATGCTATTGAATTTAGTTGGCTAGTCTTTTGTTGAGTGTTTTTGCATCTATATTCATCAGGGATATTAGCCTGTAATTTTGTGTGTGTGTGTGTGTGTGTGTGTCCAGGCCTTCATTGTTTCTGATGAGACTTTAGCTGCTAATTTAATCACTCTTTTTTTTTACTGTCATATATCATTTTCTATTGCTGCTTTCAATGTCCTGTCTTTCTCTTTGACTTACAAAAATTTATTGTTTACCTCAGAATGTACTCTGTGTTTATTCTGCTTTGAATTTATTTAGTATCTTGTATCTGCTAATTCCTGCCTTTCATTACTTTTGGGAAATTTTCGTTCATTATTTTTATTTTTTTTAATTTTGTTCTCTCTCTTCTACTGGTATACTAATTCACTTATGTGAGATTGCTTAATATCATCTAATAGGTTTCTGAATGTTCAGTTTGTTTCAATTTTTTGTCTATTCTCCATATTGTAATTTCTGTTGATCTGTCTTTAAACTCACTCATTCCTGTCATGTTCATCTGGCCGTTAGATCCATCCAGTGATTTTTTTTCATAAATTGTATTTTTATTCTAAAATTTTATTTTTTATTGTCTATTTCTCTGCTGAGACTTCCTTTTTCTCTACTGAGGTTTTCATGAATTGATAATCCTAAGGTCTCTGCCTTAAATGAGTCTAGTTCTGATGCTCTGTCTCATCAAACTATCTTTTTGCTTTTTAGTATGCCTTGTAAACTTTTTGTTGAAAGCTGGACATGATGTACTGGGTAAAAGGAACTGAGATAAATAGGCCTTTAGTGTAAGGCTATTTGGTTGGGAATTAGGTTATGTTTAGTGTTTGCTGTAGATGTCAGAGAATAAAATTTTCTCTGATGTTTTTCTTTGTTTTTGACTTGACTGTTATCTTTGAGTTCCTCTAGAGACTTGTTGTTAAATAATGTCTGAAACATGCAGTTCTTTCCATTGTATTCTTCTATCATTATTCAGGAGCGCAGTTAATATGGTGGTAAGGTGTGGGGAGAGAGGATGTGTTCTATAGTCCTGTGATTGGACCTCAGTCTTTCAGTGAACCTATGGCCCTAGGCTGAGACCCTCACAAGTACATCTCAGTTTTATTTTGCTTTCTCTACCTTAGATGAAATAAGAAGACTAGATGAAAACTGGAATTGGGCATTTCCTTTCTTCCAGATCAGTTAGGTGCTACTAAATCTCCAGCTCTGGAAATACAGTTGGCCTCTATCCATGAGTTGCATATCCATGAATTCAGTCAACCATGGACTGAAAATATTTGGAAAAAAACTCCCATAAATTTTTTTTAAAATACAGTGCAATAACTATTTATATTAGGTATTATGAGTAATCAAGAGATGATTTAAAGTACATGAGAGGATGTGCATAGGTTATATGCAAATACTGCACCATTTTATATAAAGGATTCAAGTATTTGTGGATTTAGAATTCCATAGATACTGAGTGATGACTATAGTTTCTTTTGAGGGCAGGCCTTGCTAAGAAGAGAATATTCTTGGGTGTGTCACAAAATGCCTCCTTTTTCTCACTCCCTGCTTAAAGCCCAAGGAAATTTTTCTTTAATCTTTATTATGAGAACCTGGTAGAATTCCTAGGAATGAAACTCAAAAAAATGAGTGTGGGAGTAGGGCTAAAATTGGGCCTCCCTAGGGTTTCTAACTCTCAAACTACAGTTTAGGTTTTTTTACCCTGGCACTTGTTCTGGGGTTTTCCCACCCTGGCACTTGTTCCAGGGTTTTCTCCTGGGCTTCTGCTTCAGAAAGTTGAGTTTTCTTCACCTGCTTCTCTGTTTCTACAATTTGGGGGGCAGTAGTTTGCTCTGTGACTTCAATCTCTAATGTATGTAGGAAGAGTTGTTAATTTTCAGTGTGTTCAACATTTTTCTTGTTAGGATGGAAGTGATGACTTCCAAACTCCTTATATGCTAGACCAGAAAATGGAAGTCAGGCTTTCATGAATTAGAAACATGTATTTCATTGAGTATAACAACTTTAAAATTCTTACCTGTTAGTTCCAACATCTGGTTCATCATGGAATTAGATTAGATTGATTTTCTTTTCTCTTTTTAATGTATTCTGTTTTCTTGATTCTTTGTATACTGAGTAGTTTGGGGCTATATCTTGGATATTATGGACATTAAATTGAGGAGATTCTGGGTTACATTGTTTTAATCCAAAAGTATTGTTTCCTTTGCTTTAGCAGCTCATTTTCTTGACTGTGCTTAAACAGCTAACTCTGTTTCTTGTACAGCAACTCTTTGTTCAGATCTTTTGTTTTTAGATAAGCTGTTAAAAGTCTGCTCTTGTAAGCATGGTTCAGGGTTTAGTCAGAGATGTGAGTAGACAGGGCTTAAGGATCCACTCTTTAGCTCTTTGTCATCAGTGCTCATAGTTTCCTGAATTCTTTTATTAAGCCCTGAATTGCTGGAATTTTTACTTGTGTTCACTTCTGCTGTGCATACTTTTGACAGTACCTAGTCCCAGACTAACACCCTATCCCCTCCTACAAGTGAATGCATGCAATCCACCAGTGTCTGTTTGCTTTTCTTCATAGTACCTTCAGGGTGGAAGCTCTAGTCTCAGTTCATAATTGTTGTTTTCCTTTGTGTCTGTTCCACAGGAACATGAGTCAGGTTCAGTGAGAAATGTGAGTAGATATAGTTTAGGAATTCCTTCTCTGGCTCTCTTCTTTCTGGGATTCTCATCAACATTTTACAACTTGACTTTTTTCATTCCATAAGCTGGAAAAATGAGTATTTTTTCCATGTATGCCTCCTCCTCCACTAATTGTTGCCATAAGTGCTGCACTTAGCCAAGGCTAAAAGTGATGAAAATTTATTTGTATAGTTTTATGTCTCCATTTCTTCTAGCAGTTGTGGGTTCCTTTTCAGTGTCTGTCTGCTTCTGTTCACTGTCTAGTATCTTAAGTTCATTTCTCTTACTATTATATTCCAGGTTTTGTAGTTATTTTCTGTGTGTGTATGTGTTACAGAGAAAGAGGATCCTATAGGTTCTGAGTTCATTACACCCAGAAATGGAAAGTTTTCAGGAATATTTTCCTGAGGACAAAAAACCCCCTCTACTTTGTTGAACAATCTCTTAGAAACTAGGGCCATGTGTTCCTTCAGTGACTATTGGTAGTGTAGAAACTTGTGATGTCCTAGCCTCTTGTTTTCTATACAACAGGGATTAAGGGAGAGAGATGTTTTGGAGATAGGCAGAATAACTTGGGGGCTGTAGACAGCCTGTATAATCTCACCTCCCTAAACTGTGTGGATATTTGTATAATTTTTCACAGAATCTGGAGATTTGTTTTTTTTAACCTAGTTAAGACTGTTTTGAGCCAAATATTCGCTTCTACTGTACTTAATACAATGCTTGTCCTAAAGTTAGGTATTCAGTAAATGTTAGTTAAATCTCTTAACTATTGAGTCACCATAATAAGTTATTCATAATTAATAAGTTAGCTAAATATAAACACTTTGATTATCATAGAAATAAGATGATTAAAGAAAAGTATTTGTATATTTTCTTCTTATATTCATGTGGATATACAGCTAATATATTTCAAGCCATTTTAAGTAAAAGATTAATTTGTCCTTGGTATCCTTTGATACCATTAATTTGTCCATGGTATCCAGTGCTATATGTGAGGGAGGACCTCCCCCCAAAATGGAATTTTTTTTTGGAGGACGAGCAAAGACTACCCCTGCTAGGGGTTCTAAGAACCCTTTGGCAACAGTGTACCAGCTAGCATTGTGAAAGATTGCATTTGGCTTCAGTGAATTTTTTTTTTTTGAGATTCTTTCAATGCATTTCCCATTTCATAATGGGTGATATACAAGTACACCTGCCCACACTGTGCTGAGTGATCAGCAGTTTCTGACCAGAAGTGGCATGACCCCAGTGCCCTCCCCTCCCCTCCCTATTCTCCCAATATTGCCCCGGGAGACTTTGTTTTTCCCCTAGATGAAAAAAAATTCTCAAAGAGAAACATTTTGCTGATGTGGAAGAGGTGAAACAAAAAACTGCAGAAGCACTTAAAGGCATCAAAATTGAGGAATTCAGAAACTTTTGAACAGTGGTAAAAGCATCTCAGTAGGTGTATTGTATCAAACAGAGAGCACTTTGAAGGTGACTGAAGTTTAAACATGTAAGAATAAATACACAATTTTTAAAATAAATAAATTCTGTTTTTTGCGGGGTCCCCTCATTAATGAATTGTTTGTGGAGACATTTTCATTATGGTGTTTTCTACTTCTATCTAACTAATTTGTTGAAAAGCTATAGGGAATAGTGAGTTAATTAATTACTTAGTGAGCTAATTAATTTAAAAGTTCCTTTTGAGGTTTCTTCCTCATATAACAGCCAAAGTAAATGGAATTATTAACATGAACACCTTAAAGATGTATATAGAAATTAGGAGGCTTGTAGAAATTATCAAGGAATTAAGAATATAGAATAACAATGATAGAAGTTTCTCTAAGATTGGGGTTAAGATGTACTAAAGAGTACATGCAGAAGATTCAAACAAGATCCTTATCTATCCCCATACACAAAAATTAACTCCAAATGGATCAGAGACCTAAATGTAAAACCTCAAGCTATAAGAACCTTAGAAAATGCAGGACACACCCTTATCAAAATTGGAACTGGCATCCAATTCCTGAACAAAACCCGAAACACACGGGCCATAAGAGAGAAGATAGACAAGTGGGACCTCATTAAACTGACAAGTTTCTGCAAAGCCAAAGAAACCATCAAGAAAGCAGGGAGACAGCCTACAGACTGGGAAAAAGTATTTGCCAACTCCATGTCTGACAAAGGCCTAACATCTATAAGGAACTCAAATGTGCTGAAAAGAAAAAAACAAACACCCCCATTATAAAGTGGGCAAAAGATATGAAAAGACACTTCTCAAAAGAAGGCATCCAAGTGGCCAACAGACACATGAAGAAATGTTCAACCTCACTAATCATCAAGAAGATGCAAATTAAAACTACACTGAGATACCACCTAACTCCAGTCAGAATGGCAATTATCAATAACTCAAAAAACAACAGATGCTAGAGAGGATGTGGTGAAAAGGTAACGCTGCTACACTGTTGTTGGGAGTGTAAACTAGTGCAACCTCTGTGGAAAGCAGTGTGGTGATTCCTAAAAGCTCTAAATATCAACCTCCCATATGACCCTGCAATCCCCCTACTGGGAATATACCCTGAAGAACTCAAATCACTCTATAAAAAAGATACTTGCACACGTATGTTTATTGCAGCATTGTTCACAATACCAAGAACCTGGAACCAACCATGCTGTCCATCAAAAGAGGACTGAATTTTAAAAATGTGGTACGTATACATGATGGAATACTATGCAGCCATAAAAAAGAACATAGTCATGAATTTTGCAGCAACCTGGATGGAACTAGAGTCTATAATACTGAGTGACCTCTCACAGAAACAAAGATCTGAGTATCACATGTTCTCACTCATATAGTGGACCCTGAACATCTATCATAATACTATAAGAAAAGGATTGACAGTGAATGGAAACTATGGGGGGGTGGTGTTGGGAGGGGAAGGAAGGTGGGAGTAATGGTAGTCAATATCTGTCTGGGGACGGGGAGACACCCCTTATCAACAAGGGTGCCTGAACGATACATATTTGTATACCTAACCCTTAACTGTACCCCACAATTTTAAAATAAAAAATACATTTATAAAAGAAATTTAACAATAAAAAAAAAGATGTACTAAAGAGTTTAACTATACACATAAAAAGTATAACATTCGTCAAAATACAACTTGCAGCACTTTTGGCTTTGGACTCATTCTCTTGTTAATGTACATGTAAGATATTATGTGGGGTCTTGATATCATTATGGTGAGTTACAGACTGTACTATACGTGCTATTTAGTTTGAATGGAAATAAGATCAAAGTAGCTTTGTCAATCTTTCACTAAAATTCGAGATTTGGTATTGACTTGTAAGTGTGATTATTGTAAAATAGATGTAGTATGGAATTGTTTCCCGAGATTAATCCAAATATTCAACATAAAAATTTAGAAAGTTTCTTTAGTTCTCTACCCTAGGTTTCCATTTACTCAATGATGCAGGCAGACTAGAGAACACCAAAAAAGGCTTGGGACTTCTGGGATCATTAAGGGTCTGTGGTAGCCATCTTGCTGTTGTTGGCTCTAGTGACCCATAGCCACAGGTCAATTTGTATGCATCCTCTTTCTCTCTCAAGCAACCTGAGTTGAAATCCAGTGCTCCAAGCTACTTTGAAGCTTTAATTGCATGACTGAGCACTGAAAATGTGAAAAACAATTTTAGACCAGCATTAAAAGGTAAGGTCAAAGAATGTTTTTATGGATATTCATGTGTCTTGCCAGCAGGATTCAATATTTTTTTCCAAATGATTCTGAATTATTCATTTATACTTTAACATACATTTGTTTGATTCTTCCAAGGGATCCCATTGCATTTCTACTCATTCTGTTTCAGACCACATTAATTATTGCCTTGTGTGTTACTCTCACATCTCTAAGGTAGTCTAAGGTAGATTAATACTTCAAGTGAATGGGAGGTAAGGTGCTATATCTTCAAGGGACTTTTCTTCATGTTGCATAATGTCTGTGTGATAAGAAGCACAAGGAGAAAGTCTGTTTTAGAATTAGCAGCATGAGGTATTAACATTCTATAATGCTTTTATTAAGTTTGGTAAAATGATTGGCCAAAGACAATTTTCTTCTCAAACTAGTAACTGAATTGGTATGTGGGGGGAGCCTTTCCTAATATTGACTTTCCTTGGTAGCTAAAGGCAGCTACATATTTCAGAAGCAGTTTCCAAGGAGGTAAATAGATGGTGAGGTAATTTTTTAAAGTACTTAGATCCTGATTGTCTCCAGAGGCTTTGAAGCTGTGCATTACACAATAGGCTGATTTGATCTACTGGGATCTTCGCCAGGTTTGTAAATGCACTAAGATTTTTAATGATCACAAATGACAACATGATATCCTTCTCTTTATTCTAGAAATGAGGTCATTTCTACATGATAAGGAACAAGAGTAGGTTTTAGTTTGGAAGACTTGGAGGATCAGAATTCTTTTAGGTCAGACACAGCAGTATGCCTGAGACATAGTTATACAACCACTAAGTTTTGGCTACTTGGTTTGCTGCTATACCCTTGAAAATGTTCATTAGTCTGTAAGCAGCATGAGGGCAGGTTTTACATCATTTTGGTAATCATTGAGGCACAATAGTTGGCTGTGGTAAGTCCTTGTTAATTTTTGTTGGAAGACTGGGAAATAAATTGTATTGCAATATCCTAGATTTTTTCTTTAACTTTTTCATTGTTATGTTTTTGTTTTAACATGGAAATAGAGGTAGCCGGTTGGACTAGAGGCAGGACAAGGTGTTCTTTTCTTTCTACTCCAGGAAAACAGGTTTTCATTTTTTAAGATTCTTAAATGTCATCTTTTTTTTTTTTTTTTTTTTTTTTTTTGAGTCAGAGTTTTACTCTGTTGCCCAGGCTGGAGTGACCTGCTGATCTCAAATAATCCTTTGGCCTCAGCCTTCCAAGTAGCTGGGACTACAGGTGCACGCCACCGTGCCTGTCTAAATTTTTGATTTATTGTAAAGACAAGGTGTTGCCCAGGCTGGTCTCAAACTCCTGGGCTCAGGCAGTTCTCTCGCCTCAGTCTCCCAAAGTGTTGGGATTACAGGTGTGAGCCACTGTACCTGGCTTTAAATGCCATCTTGTTTGTAAAGCCTTCTTATCTTTTCTGGGTGTGGTTGACCTAACCATTTTTCCCATAATGTGTTCTCTTTTTATACCATTTATGACATGTTTTATTGCATTTTTAATGTCTATCTGCTTCTTTCTATCATAATAGAGAGCTCAATGATTATTCATTTGTCTATCCCTGGTATATTAGTAGGAAAGTATTCAGCTGCAAGTAACAGAAAATGTAACTAATAGAGACTTAGATAAGAGTGACGTTATCTCACAGAATAAGTTTGAAGGTAGACAGTTCAGGGCAAGTGTCTTCAAGAACACATACCTTTTTGTTTTTCCAATTCACCAAGCTTAATATGTGATTCTCATCATCGTGATTGTACATTGGTTATACTTCATGCCTCACATCTATATTCCATGCAGGAAGAAAGAGGAAAAATGATAGAAGGGTTTGCCAGATGTGTTTTCTTGAAAAGAATACTTCTTTTTCTTATATCACATTTCCAGAAATTGGTCACATGGTCAACCTTAGTTGCAAGGGAATCTGAGAGCTTTTCTAGCCCTTATACTAGAAAAAGACGGGGCAAAGACATTGTGGATGACATTTATGTAGGCAGTGTATGGTAATATGGTCATGATTGGGACCTCCCTCAAAAATGTCCTGGCACGTATCCAACCCACCATGTCATGCATTTAACATATTTTAGCAGTAGGCTAACTGTCTTAAATCTCAAGGACAAAATCTGTTTCTTTGCTAGTTCTTCAAATTCTATCTATCTATTTTTAAAGTGTTGTCTGGATCATGGTTTCAAATTAAACTTACCTTGGCCATTTCCAAGATGAAGGGTATGGTCAGAAGTAGAAATAAGAAGTACTGCAAGAGAATATAAATTCAAAAACTTGGCCCCAGCAGTATGGAAATCATTTGACATCATGAGTTATGAACTTCATAATCCGCCCCGCCCCCATTTGGAAAACATTCTGTAAATGACAGATTCCATAAATAATTTGCTTTCTAAGATTCTGTGATTTCTGGATGTCCTTTAGCTTTGAATTTCTTCTTTCCGATACTTGAATTTGATAGAGGGAGAGGCTGCAGCATTTGATGGGTCCCCTTATTGGTAGTATAAGTTTGTTTAATTTATGTATCAACAAAGAGTGCCTGGCTATCACTGAGATGTCCTATTTAAGCTTGTTGGAATGAAGCTGAGGGCAGCTGGGAACCCTTAGGACCATTTAATTCTTGATTCTGACTCCTACACTTACTCTCTGTTGCCTTCACAATACTCTCCTTCCTGTCATTCATGAATTTACATGTTTCTTTACTGCATTCTCTGGACAGTTTTGCAGTTTAATGTTTCTTTCTTTATCCAAATACAGAACAATTATCCTTACATACTACATCAACAGGAAAACCCTACAGTGATACCTGTTAGATCCCTTTCCTCAGAGACCAAGCACTTCTCCATAGGCCTTCCATTCAATAGTTGTTGGAAAGGAAGGACCTTTTTGGAAGGCCTCTTTAATTTTGAATTGTTTCTAAGAAATTTATGTCTGATTTGTTAAAGGATCATTTTTTTCCCCTGAGGGCCACATATATGAAAAAGAAGAAATCAAATAAGGGCTACACATGTAAAGAGGGTAGTTCTATATTGGGGAAGTTGTATTTTAGAGGAAATGTTCTTGCATGCTTTTGTATTTAAGAGCAGAGAGCACAGAGGGTTTTTTTTTATTTGTTTTGTTTGTTTTTT